AGAAGAAGAAGAAGAAGAAGAAGAAGAAGAAGAAGAAGAAAAAGAAGAGAGAGAGAGAGAGAGAGAGAGAGAGAGAGAGAGAGAGAGAGATTAGTCATTATTTAATTGTGAGCTTTAAATCATAAATTGAACTACTACTTTTTACCTCATTCAATTCCCTCTATTTAAATCCTGCATTTCTTTAATAAATAAACAAAAAATATACAAAAAAAAACAATACAAAAGAAGAATCTAGCCAAGCAAGTAGGTTTGTCAATGATATTTGAAACTTCACAAATCAATAAAATTATCACATATTTGGATGAAGTGTTTATGTAATCAGATTTGGATTTTACAATCTACATCTGATTAATAATAAAAATAAATAAAAATAAAACATACATATTTATAGAAATTTTTGGACACATTATTCCTATCATTATCATCTCCTATAATTGCCACGTGCATAGCACATGCACGCTAACTAGTAATATATATAAACTCGATTAGGATCGCGAGTCTCACAAAAGGAAAATCGAATTGAAAAACACATTCATGACCTTCTTTCTTTCTTTGCTTCATGGGGCTACAAAACGAAGGGTGGCTCAGTTCCCATCCCAAGCCCAGCCTTGGTGACAACAAGATTTGATCCCAAGTCACCATAACTAGTAATATATATAAACTCGATTAGGATCGCGAGTCTCACAAAAGGAAAATCGAATTGAAAAACACATTCATGACCTTCTTTCTTTCTTTCTTTCTTTACTTCATGGGGCTACAAAACGAAGGGTAGCTCAGTTCACATCCCAAGCCCAGCCTTGGTGACAACAAAATTTGATCCCAAGTCACCAATATAACCAATTAGAAATTGCAGATTGGACCATCTAAGCCATCATCAATTGATTAAAAGAAAAACATTGAAGAACATATATTATTACCAATATTTTACAACCCATTTTGGAGACCAAATCACTTTTCCTCGTGAACAGACTACATAGCAATCCAACCATTTGTGTCAATAGAGTCGACCATCTAATTTGCAAATCAGATTCGTTTGGAACTTCAATGAACTTGCTAACGACCAAACTGTACATCTCTTAAAGTCTGAGAATCGGGTCAATTTATTTCAGAGAAGTTTGCAATTCCTATTCAACTGTTTATCAATAGTTACACTTTTATTTCAGTTTTGTAGTTATTTGTTATTTAAACTTTCATATTGTTTAGAAACCATTGCCCATAAACTGCATCTATTACTTTCTCCTCCGACAGTAATAGAACCCAAACTGTTAATTTTTTTTGTTCGGTCCATTACAGTAATAGAACCCAAACTGCATCTATTACTTTTTTCCATTCCAGTAATGGCAGGAGCTTTCTTTTCTTTCCATTCCACCATTGCTTACATTTTTTCTCTCCTCTGTTTTTTTTTTTTTTTTTTTCATCAGATCAGCTTCTCTTTGTTATTTTCACTCCAATTGCTTTGGTTTCCTGTACCCGCTTTCTTTATGTTATTTTCACAGCAAGAGGTATGTATAGTCCTCTCTTTGCACTGTTTGTTGCAGTATTCCTTCTCATATTCTAAATCTGTATTTTGAAATTTAATTTAACAGGCCAAAACAGGGAAGATTGTTGCGATCCCTTTAGGTAGCTGGGAAGTGGTTGGTTGGAATGTCCAGCTTTAGCTCTCGGTCGTTTTTGGACTGATCACCATCTCCGTCCATTTTTGGCCGGTTGAAATCTCACTCACTGAGTCACACTGGGCACCATTTTAAACTCAAACATAGGTAGGTATTCTCAAACTTTTTTTTTTTTCGTTCTCAGACTCCCAGTTATACTGTAGACGTTCTCCCACGTATTTTGGGAGTGAAATGGATACAAAAACTCACCCCAAGTTTGGTTTTCCTGCCACTATGTTTAGGTTCATATGGTGTTGGTTTTTTTTTTTCCCATTTTCTCACCGTTTTCTACAACTTTTACACTCATTCACTGCCTATAGTCGCCGAAGACTTTTCCGACCTGTTTTTAGCTTGAATGGGACAGAAAGACCGGCCGTAGAACTCACTCCACGGTCGCTTAACGTCGACTGTATCGAATACCACTGTTCATCTATCCGGGTTAAGAAGATGAACTATTCGGGTTGGATTATGTGCATTCTGACATAGATCCAACCCATTATTATTAATAAAACTGGTCTACATAGGTTCCGATCGATTATTAAATTGACACATTTTCAAGCCAATTTCGATATTAAACCATCCCAGTTTAGACTTCTTGAACTGATGTAGATGACTCTACATAAAATGTTAATTGATAATAATTTAATATTAATTACTTTAATTAATAATTGATCATTAATTATTAATGAATGATATTTAAAACCGATCTACACCGGTTTTATTAATTGTTAATTAATTAATTAATTACGTTAATTAGCATTTATTAATTACATTAACAATTAATTAATGTATTTAACTAAGCTAACTAATAATCAATTATTAATTAATACCTAAATAACTATTAATTACATTACTTAATAAATAACCATCACTTATTAATAATAATAACCAAAATTTCAATATTTATAAACATTTAAAATAAGTAATGATTATTGAATATTTACTTTTTATACTTATTTTCAGTAATAACAATATTAATTATTATACTGAATAATTAAATACTATAATATCATAATACTGAATATTTGTTACAATAAGTCTGGATTTATAATATTTTCAGTAATAAAATATTATTACTTAATTTAACAGTTACTTAATTTAAAATATCATGTTAGTAATTATTTTCAGTATTTAGTAAAAATAATTACCTACAATAAGTCTGACTTTCAAATTTTCACATTTTTTATAAATTAATGTAATTACTGTAAAAGTTAATTAATATGTTAGTAATTATTGTATATTTTTTCAGGAAAAAAGTTAAAAACTGAAATATGATAACTAATTATTTTGAAACCTGAAATTTCAAAATAATTATTGAAAATTACTGAAATTTGTTAATGGTTATTGAAATTACTTATTTTAATTATTGTCAGTAATTATTATTTTCAAATTTTAACATTTTCAGAAATTAATGTAATTAATTAATTACCAATTAATAAAACCAGACTAGGTTGATTTTAAATATTGTTTTGAAATCTGAAATTATTGAAAATAAAAAAATAATAATATCAAAATACAAAAATTTATAATAATTATTGTGAGAATTATTTAGAATAGTTCTGATAATTGGTAAAATTAGTAGTTTTAAGTTCTGAAAATTCTGATGATAATTGGTTTTACATATTGTTTTGAAATCTGAAATTATTGAAAATAAAAATAATAATATTAAAATATGAAAATTCAAAATAATTACTGAATATTTATTATAATTTAAAATAACTAATAATTACTGAATATATTTATTATAACTAATATAAAAATCTAAAAATTCGAAATAATTATTAAAAATTTGAATTATTGAAAATATTATTACTTTTCAATAATAGTTCTGAAAATATGTCTAAATTTTCAGTAATAAGTCTTATAAGTCTGTAATATTATAAATATCACAATTGCAGAAAGCATGTCTCACACTTTCATTTTCTGCCTTTACATTTTGATAGCAATAACTGAAAATCTAGAAAAAGGTCATACAAATTAATTAATTAAATAAGAAACATAAATAAAATTTCCACATAAGTATTAGTGAATCTCAAAACAATAAAATGGCCTGTTAGATAAAAAGGTGTGGAGCCCATTCTTTTAGATAAAATGGACTATTAATTACATATAAACCCGATTTAATCTTTTAAATCAATAAAAAAAACTTAATCCGTACTAAGTACGGTTCTCAAACAAAATAGATCAAATCAATGGCCCTAAACACGACTACTTATATAGAAAAAGTATCCACCACAAAATATGTAGGCCCATAATCTTTCTAATTTATTGTTTCTTTAATTTGAATAAAAAAAACTCTGAAAGGTATAAGTTCCATTTTTTTGGTCTGAAATAGATTATCAATTACAAATTAAACATTAAATAACACACTTAAATTAGATACTCTAAATAAATAATAAATTTTAAACAAAATTGCATCCTATACGGTGTGTCAAACAAACTTTATCAAAATATATTAATAAAAAACATCAAAATACTAGCTAGCACCGTACTTAGTACAGGGTAATTGTCTAGTTATACATTAAAGCAAGTGGTTTTAAAATAAATAGGAATAAAATAGAAATATGATAAGTAAATTTATTAATAACAGGAACATACACTGGTTTGCAATTAGGATCGGGAATTTTAGTTGAAACCAACTATGCTATATGGAGCAAAGTGTTGGGCGTTCAAGAAACATGGACAAAAATGAGTGGTAGAAATGTATATCCAAGATGGATAAAGGAAAAAATTATAAAGCAAAGGGTAAAAGCTCCTAATACGCCCAGGGTTCAAAGTATCAATACGTATCTGCCCGTAATGACCAATACATTTCATATCAAAAAGCTCTCAATACGCCCATACAGAGGGTGTATCAGGGTTTTGACAGGTTCAAGGGGTGGATGGACCTTAAACAGGCCCCTCTGAACCAGGATATAAAAAAGAAACAAAAAATAAAACAAAACTACTACCAAGTAAGGTCTAGTTTCAAATTCTTGAAACTAACCCCGCCTAGACTGGTTTAGTGCCTAGGGGGTTTACCCTACTCGAAACTGGCCTTGGTAGAACTGTGATCGGAACTAAACTTGCCTTATTACAAGCATTAGGTTTTGAACTATATATTGAGCCCCAATTGGTTCGTGGGAATAAGGATCTGAAATCGGAATCAGAATCGGAATGGGCTATTCCGATTCCAATTGTTTTGTCGGGTTGGCAGAGGCTATTTTTTCAACCCAACTAGCTTAATCCTGTCATAGTATCAAACAAGCCAGGGCTCACAAATACCACTACCAGCAGGCACCCAGCCAAGAAGTTTTTGCCTCGTCATCTTACCGCCAGCCAATTCAGACGTTTTAACTTCCGCTAACGTTGGCAGCCAAAACCAAGTCCATAACTATTCTGAAATACAAGACTACTTTAGTGCCTTCACATAGCGCAAGGCAGCTTAAGATATATTTCCAAAACCACTAGTTAGAACTAGTGATACTCAATCTTGCCATACTCATTAATTAAAGTAAATAATTTCCGAACATGGGAGGGAGACCGCACATCAACAACAAAAATTATGACTCAAAAGTACTCTAAACAAATATATCCTACTCGGTTGGATATCAAAAGAACAGCAACCATAACCATCTCTCTTCACTGCTCGCCAGGCAGTGTTTTAATGATATCAGAATCACCTGCAATTAATACACAACGAAAAATAAATTTCTCAGCTTCAGGATGAATTACATAGTAAATTGTAGCTCGATATAAGTAAATTTTTCGCACCTGGGTCAATAATGCTAAGGGATGATACACGGTAATATTTTCCACATGCTGTGCCCAAGTCAACATTGTCTAGAAAACATTAACAAAAATAGGTTAGATGATGTTGGTCATTTTAAACTAAGGAACCCTCCCACTTTTGTTTTAATTTTAACTTATTCAATTATTCAGGAAGTGCATGTTTAACAATAATATACCTCTCTTTAATATTTTACAAGAGAAAAAGAGATATTATGGAACTGTGTTTATTACAACAATAGGTACCCTATCTCAGTCGACAAACATCAAAGAATTCAGTATGGAATGGCTTCAGCAGTCTGACAAAATTACATCGCACCATAAGAAACCCATCTGGAGGAACTGGACCAAGCCAGACAAACGAGACAAGTCAGACCTCAAGTACCAAGGCACTGTGCCCTCGGTAAGTGCAATTAGCAGGCTCCTTCTGGATCATTGCCAAACATGTATAACAAATCATTATGATTTTATGTTCATCTTCATTACAGAAGGTTGGTATTCCTTGTATTTGTAAGGTAGTAGATGAACCGAGAAGAACCGTTTACATATATAGCAATTCCACTGGAACTATGCCAAGTTAATGCCCCAATGCCAGGTTTTTTTATGGTTTTTTTTTCTATTTTATTATTTAATCTTTCTTTTGGTGAGGGTGTTCAAAATGACTAGTCACTTTATTTTGATAGAGCCTTCACAATGATTAATTATCAAAACTATTTGGGAAGCACATTTGGGTTAAGTATGATGGTAAAGACATGTAGCTTGAATCTAGTGCCATCTGGTAAAGTTCAAAACATAGCATCTTTCTGCTAAGCCATCGTGTTGTAAGATGAAAAGAGAGAATGGGAATCGAGTGGAATTTTGCAATTTCTACTTTTATAAAATTCTAGTAACAATCCCATTTCATAGCAAACAAATACATTAAAATGCTAAGAAAACCTAAAAAGAAATGAAGTCATTTGACATGACTTCCACATAACCATGTACTAACTGCGAATATATGAAACAAATGGTCCAATGATAATTGGAAAATTCTTCGGAGAAGTACAAAAACACACGATGCAGAATTCTGAATTCCAGCCCCCCCCCCCACACTACTAGCCCTCTGCCCCCCTATAAACCACATCCTGCCCGTGAATTTGGCATCAATTCACGGTCAGGATGCATTCCCCCTGTACTTTGGGGCTGGAGAATTCTGATCTGGGCTGATTTGTACTTCTCCCAATATTCTTTGGGTAAGGTAATGAGTAATTAGAACTTTTAAGTTTACTCCTTTTTCATAGATGGCTTCCAAGGTCCCTTCAAATGTGCCAAGCATTGAGTCATGTAATAAGTGTACCATTTGCCTTCATCAAGAAAATGTGTACCATGTGTAAATTATTATTTGATATTAAATTCAATGAAGCCTATCTCAGTAATAGCAATCCAGAGGAAAAAAAACAGCAGATAACGGAAAATGAATTCTCAAGCATTATACACTGATGATACAGGGAATAGTGGACCACCCCTCCAGTGTAAATCAAGAAAAGGTTGGAGTAGGAAGAAATAAAAACAAAATAACAAAACGGCATATTAAAAATAAATTAAACAAAAACTTAAGATATTGAAATGGAAGAACAAACAATAACTCAATGGCATATTGGCATTCATTCAGATTCAACACAGCAAGCTAGACCACTTACTTCCGTTAAAATGATGGACGCCAACCTTTGCAAGCATTGCATAGTACTCAATCTCGGATTTCCGCAGAGGCGGGCAATTGTTTGAAATAATAATCAGTTTTGCTGCAAATACCAAAAAAAATGACCCAGATCTTAATAAAGAAACCGAAAAGGAACCTAACCATGAATTAACTTTTCCATCGTATTAAGGCCAATAAAACAACATTAGAATAACGAAGCAGGGAAATTAGGATCCACCTTTCGAACTTCTCAGGGTTCGAAGGACCGTTTTGTAACCAAGGGTGTACTTCCCGCTCTTCATCACGAGAGCGAGCCTGTTGTTGATACTCTCATGAGTTTTCTTCTGTAAAATCATTGCAAAAAAAGATTTAGCCAAGAAAACCACAGATCTTGACAGTAAGCCTAAACTAATAAAAATAAACATTGGATGAAGAGGTACATACCGTCTTCTTCACCGCCACCATTGTTGCTACTTACAAAGACCCCAAAGCCCTCCCCAGGTGTTTCTTCAGAGGATGAAAAGAAAAGTGCTAATTTTTAGCTTCTCGTGGTGAGTAAAACGAATCAAAGATTAAGACTTCTTAGAGAGAGAGATAGTGGGAAAAGATCGAGAGTTAGAAAAGAGTGACCTTACCTTGTATTACGGTGTTTTTCCAGGAAACCCTAATGAGTTGCAATGCTGCGCGGTTTCGTTGAGGATGGGGGGCGAGAGGGCGAGAGGCCGAGAGATGGGAATAGAACATTTTAGGGTTTTTGTGCACATGATCTCACGTGCAGTTCACGTGAGCAAAGACCCTTTGTCAATTGTACATTCATTCAGTAGAGAGTAGGCGCTACGGGGTCAATTCGAGCCGAGCCGAGTCGAATAGTGCTAGTCTCGAGTTCGGTTCGAACCATAACCTGGAGCTCGAGTTAAAGGTTAGTTTTATATTTTATAAAAATATTTATTATATATTTTATAAATATATTATAAAAATAAAAATTTTATATAAATTTTTATTTTATATTTAAAATTTAAGAATTATAATCATTAATAATTATAATGTTTTTATTATATTATATATATATATTGGAGTCGGTTCGCGAGCTCTAGTAAGCTCGAGCTTGGCTCGTTTATTAATGAAGCCACTAAAATGGGCTCGAGCTCAGCTGAAACCGAGTCGTCGTGAAAAGCTCGGCTCATTTCCAACGCTAGGGGTGCCAACGGTTCAGTTGGGCCATTTTTTGGAACCAAATCGGTATTTTCGGTTTTTGGAAAACCGGTAATCGGAATCGATCAAAGCCAATTAATTAATCTGTTTGGTTCGTTAGTTTATATATAATGCATATTTACTAATTTGTAATATATAAAAAATATAATATAAATAATATATATATATATAATATATACCGGTTGGTTTGGTTAACCGTCGGTTTTCTATATTGGTTAATTGAAGCTGAACCGGTACTTTCAGTATTTTGAAACACTGAATCAACTGGTTTTATTAACCGATTTTTCGATTCGATTTTGATCAATTTTTTCTGTCAATTCGATTTTTCAGTTTTTTTGCTCACCCCTAGCTAGCGCGGGTTGGTCCAAGTCGAAATTAGACTCCATGGTTTTTGAAACCAATCTGGAGACCAAATCAGTCAGAAGTCCGGTTACCAAACGGTTGAGACATTCTAACAAAAAAATAGAAAAATAAAAAATGATCAAAACCGTTCAAATGATTCGACAATTTGCTAATCAAAATCAACGGTTTTTAAAGAAAATCCAATTTTGGGGAAAAACAAAATCGATCACCTAATCAATTCTCGGTTTTTCTAGTCTGACCATCCAGTCTTGTAGGTTTTGAAAACCATGTTAAACCCTATATTTTTCTTGCTGCATGGGGCTATGCAACAGCTCGGATATCCTGACCAATAAACGTGTGTACACAACATCTAAGCCGCACATATTCGGAACATCTCTTGTACTATTTACTGTAATTTACGGTAAAATGTGTATTATTTATGAAATATAAAAATATATTCATTTTTTAATTTTTGAGCCAAGTTAGAGCTCATCAAATATTTAAAATGAACCAAGTTTGTACAAAAAAAAGATGCTTGAACCAAAAAATATAATTCAAATTGAATTCAAACTTAATAGTATTTTAGTTTAATCAAGCCAAGATATATAGAAGTTCGGCGCGGCTATACGGGTAAAAATGGGATTTAACCCGGTAAACTAGGAATGTCAATGGATCGGGTTCGGGTTGCATACATTATAACTTTACCCTCCAATGTCCCACCTCAATTTGCTATTTGCATGTAATTTTCCAAACCAAACAGCCGTAGGGTTCAAACTTGGTACTAACCCAACCCACATCTTCTAATTTTTATATTTTATAACATATAACATATTTGAAAACTTAAAAGCCATTACGGTTCTAAGGTGTCACTTTCTCTATTAATAATAGAAGAAAAACTAATAATGTGTAATTCGGTCGGTCTTAGCTGCCGATTATCTCGGTTCAAACGAGATTGGGGGTGCCTGAAACAAGGAAGAAAATGAAGACTTCCGGGGAGGAACCCGGTTGGAACACTCCGAAGCTCAAATTAGTGCTCTTCAAAAGGCAAGGGAAGTGAGAAATTCTAAGACCAGAAAAGCGCAAGAATCACATACCCTCTTCTTTGCGAGATGGGGGCCTTTTATAATCACCCTGTACACTTACTTCCATGCCTCTGCCAGTTCGGGCATCATTACCTCTACCAGATCGGGTCACTTCCTTCGCCAGGTCGAGTGTCATTTCTTCTGTCAATTGCCAGTTTGGGTGTCATAACCTCCACTGCCAGTTGCCAGGGCCGCCTCTGTCCGTCAGATATGGCGGTGGCAGGTGGTCGTTGGATGGCGTCTGTCATGTGTCAGTCCCCTAATCGGTCAGGTGCGCCGCCTTCGTGTACGGTCTCCTGGGCGTCAAGTACGGTTGTTCAGTCAGGCGACTTGGAGCCAAAGTGGTGTGCGTGGTGAAATCTTGAGTTCGGATAGAAGTATGGCCCGAACTGCCCACCCAGGGGCAGTTCGGGTTTTTTTGCCTTTTGTGCTCCTTGTAAGGCTCAGGACGTCGAAGGGAGAGCTTGAGACTCTTTAGCTCGGAGCTCGGGTTGTGGGCCTGCTGCCGTGCCGAGTTGGCGCTTCTGCCAGGTCACTCTCAGTTGCTTCCACGTGTCGCATGGCCAAGGGGTCGGGTCAAATCTCCCTCCATCAATTGCCCCCACTCCCCTTGCCCGGGGTCCTGACCCGGCGTGGGGAGTTCACGGGATGACGGGTGGATTTGCCTCGGGACACTTTGACCTTGGTTTGGAGATTCTCCGATCCGGTCTGCTTGTGTTCTCGACTCAATCGGGGTCGACTTGGCTCGACCAGGGGTCAGTCCTGGGCTGCGTGTGGTTCACACGCGCAAACGATTTTAAATTTTCAAACTTTTGAACGTGCGCGCCAAACAATTTCAAATTTTCGAATGTGCGCGCCAAAGTGTCTTTTCTTCGGGGAGTGCGCAACTAACTTTGTGGGGAGCCGTTGGATGGTTTCGATCTTGGCCGTTGATGTGCGGGTACAATGGCTTTAAATAGTGGGGGGACCCCCAGTCACTTTCCTCTATTATTCTCCAGCGTTTGTTCCTTGAGCTCGCGTCCAAGCCTGTCAGCTCGCGCCACTCGTTTGCAGTCCGGTAGCTTTTCCTGGTGAGTCCTCAGCCCTCTTCGTTTCGATGTCTAGCTCGGGTAGTTTAGGTAGTCTCTTGAGGGGGTCTGATGCTGGTTCTACGAACCGAGCTGCTGCCCTCGACAGCCTCAGTGAGTCTGAGGCAGGGCCCGAGGTAGAGCTCGAGGAAGAGCTCGAGTTCGAGCCCGTAGGCCGAGTCACCACGGGTAGTTTGGCATCCACCTCCCGCCGAGGTCGAGTGCCAGACAAGTTCAGACCCTCTACTATGACGTCCGAAAGGCTTTGGTCCCTTATCGTCTAGTACAACCTGCCCGGGGAGTATACTTACTTTTTACCCTCGGGCGACTTTCCTTGGGAACACGGTCCGGATGAGATCGTGATATTCTGGGAGTAGCTTGTTGCCGGGCTGCGCCTTCCCTTCCATCTCCTAATCGTCGAGGTCATGAACCACTTCGGCGTTACTATACGTCAGCTTCATCCAAAATCTATCCGCAACCTTGTCGGGACCATCTCCCTTTGTTGTGAGCACTGCCTTCCTTTGGACTTGGAAATTTTTTCCACTATTCTCATAAATAAGAAACAAGCAGCTGCCCGGGCGTACTACTTGTCACCTCGCCCGAGCTTCAAGATCTTACACGATCTCCCAAACAAGGTTCTGGCATGGAAGCGGGACTACTTCGTGGTTCAAAGTGCTACGGGGTGGCCGTTTCCTACTGAGTGGGGTTTGGCCGCTCCTGACCCCAGTGTTGCATTAGATGAAGATACGGTGAAGGGCCTCCAGGACTGGGCTCGACAAGGGCTCAAGTGCGAGGTCTACCTGACGGAGGACAAGCTTATTCAGGCCGGTCTGAGTTCGGGTAGGTTTCTTGCTCAAACGAAGATACTTTTGCTTTTGCTTTTATTCCCGTCTTCTGACGCCGAGCTCCTTTTTGCAGGTGTTATGGAGGCAGACAAGACTCGAGGTACAAACTTGTTTGCTGGCATGAAACGGAGGAAGTGAGTTGCTAAGCGAGTTCGCGCTGATCCTTCCCGGGTGGCGGAGCCCGAGGCACCGAGGATGGAGCCTCCTGGGGAGCCCGAGGTGCCCCCTTCAGTTCAGGAAGTGGCAGGGGCTCCCAATGCCGACACTGCCTATACCCGGGTTGTGCCCTCGGGCTCGGGGAGCCATGATGAGATTGGGAGCATGCTGACGCCGGGTTACGCTCTCCGAAAAAGCAAGGCCGCCACTTATCCTGAGGAGGTCGCGCAGTGGGCCGATCTCCCTACCAATCTCATAGGTGCTCGAGCTGCAACTCACGCTAAGGTGGTAAGTCGGAGTGGTTTTTTTTTTTTTTTTGAGCTGATTCGTCCTCGCTCTGGCAGGCGAACTCCTCTATCCACACCTTGGCACTCCAGTCGGAGAGATGCTTGAAGCGAGCAGAAGCTGCCGAAGCGGCTTCCCGTGCTGCGCGGATCGAGCTATTGAGGTCTCGGAGGGACAAAGAGGCCTTAGGAATGGTGGTGAGACATATGGCTGACCTGAAGTTGGACCTGGAGCATCAGGTCGAGTACCTTCAAGAAGATATTAGGTAGAAGACTCAGATCTTTTCTTAGGCTGTCGAGGAGGCGAAGGTGAAAGCCGTCGAGGATTACATCACTTCGCCGCGCTTTGACGATACGATGGTGGGCTCATACAGACGGGGTTTCAAGTTAAGCCGATGGATGATATGGAACACGTACCCCGAGCTCGATATCAGTGCCATAACCACCTCGCGCATCACTCAGGAGATGGCTGCCACAGCTGATGACGATGCGGATTCCGAAGACGAAGCGGGTCCTTCGGGTGTTGTCGAAGTCCCTTCTGAAGGCGAGAAAGATTGACCTCTGGGCTTGTGAGCTCGTTTGTGCTTTTTGTTTGTTTTCGCTTTTTCTTTTTTCTTTTTAAACACAATAAAGCAAACATTTAGCAATGAAGTACCTTTTTCTGTTCAAAAGTGTTGTGCAAATATTCTCTTCTTGTCGAAGTGAGTATATACCCAAGCTGCTAGACTTAAGCCCCGAGGCGAGTTAACATAGTAAGG